GTCCGTCGACATCAAAGCTTAGGCAAAGTCCGGGAAAAACTTGTCCTTTTTAAGGTTATGCTTCTGTAAAGCTTGTTCCTACTAGTTGGATTCTGAGAATCTTGTTTGTACACTTTTCGATGTTTGCTGGCATTCTGAACGTATGATTTATGAAGCGTGACTCGCGCATCAGACTCCATGTACGTATTGGTTGAATAAATATGGCAGTCTTATTGACTTTTCGCAATTGTTTGATGGCGAATGAAACTGGTTCGTGGAGAAGAAAGACGGTGGTATAGTTTGTTCGGCGATATGTATACGGCGTGGGGATACAACGCGTGAAAGTGCGGCGCGTGGGGATACGACGCGTGAAGGTAGAACGCGTGGGGATACGACGCGTGAAAGTACGGCGCGTGAGGATACGACGCGTGAAGGTAGAACGCGTGGAAGTAATGCGCGTGGGGATACGACGCGGGAAAGTACGACGCGTGGAGATACGACGCGTGGAAATACGACGCGTGGGAATTTCTACGCGTACATATTCTCATGCGTGGAGATATGGTGCGTGGAGTTACTGCGCGTGAAATTACTACGCGTGGATATTCTCATGCGTAGAGATATGGCGCGTGGAGTTACCGTGCGTGGAAATTTCTACGCGTGGATACTCTCATGCGTGGAATTACTACGCGTGGGTATTCTCATGCGTAGAGATATGACGCGTGGAGTTACCGCGCGTGGAAATACGACGCGTGGAAATTTCGACGCGTGGATACTCTCATGCGTGGAATAACTACGCGTGGATATTCTCATACATGGAATTATTACGCGTGGATATTCTCATCCGTGGAATTACGGCGCGTGTAATTACCGCGCGTGAAAATAGAGTGCGTGGAAATATTGAGAACAAAATTCTCGATCCTGAAGTAAGATATTTCCACTGAAAAGTTCTTCGAATCGACGATTTACTCACGGTGGAACGAAGGAGACAAAGCCTCTTCCAGATACGTGTTAATTACTTGAAATGGCTTATCGCAATTTGCATAGCTCTCCGGGAAGAGTTATTCCGCGGACATAATCGTAGCCAGTGCTCTCTCACCGCGTTCAATTATTTAAAAAGTGTTCCCCAACCAAAGTTATGACCGCAAAGTTAAACACAGCGGGTTCATAACTTTTCCTCTCTCCCTCCAGCCTTGATGATTGCATCATTTTCTCGACGGAGATAAGTTTTCTTGGAAAATTAACGGCTTCCCGCATAACGTTTATTAATTTCCCGAGATTTTATGGGCTGGTATAAAATAAAAATAACTTGGGACGTTTCAATATGGAAGTAGTAGCTGGGTAACCAAGTTTGGTCAATTAGGGATAATTGAATTAGTCAACTGAAGGATAAAATATCTTCTGGTAATAAATAGATATCGGGAAAGTAATAGTAATAATTTTTGTTTAGAAGAAAGTCGAAAGTTGAGAACGCGATAACCTCGTTATTTCTGCACGGACCCATACGTGGTTGCTTCTGGCTGCTGTGTAATCCATCATGAGGGATATAGGGATATTTCAGTGTATTCTGCAGAACTGATTGATTGATTGATTGATCGATTACCCTGTGGAGATGAATATAACACTTCACTGCGCTTCGAGTAGATGCGTTTTCATTAAAACGTTTATGGCTAATACGTTTGTTGGAACCAATTACGAGGGATAACCTAAGTGGATGCTGCTCTTTAATTTATTTCAAAAATTGGATGAATGATTTTAAAGAAGTCTTGAATAGTTTAACAACTCAGTGAATTCAAATAATTCAAACAATTCAAATAATTCAAATAATTCAAAGAATTCAAAGAGTTCAAAGAATTCAAAGAATTCAAATAATTCAAATAATTCAAAGAATTCAAAGAATTCAAAGAATTCAAAGAATTCAAAGAATTCAAAGAATTCAACAGAATTCAAATAATTCAAAATAATTCAAACAATTCAAACAATTCAAACAATTCAAACAATTCAAACAATTCAAACAATTCAAACAATTCAAACAATTCAAACAATTCAAACAATTCAAACAATTCAAACAATTCAAACAATTCAAACAATTCAAACAATTCAAACAATTCAAACAATTCAAACAATTCAAACAATTCAAACAATTCAAACAATTCAAACAATTCAAACAATTCAAACAATTCAAACAATTCAAACAATTCAAACAATTCAAACAATTCAAACAATTCAAACAATTCAAACAATTCAAACAATTCAAACAATTCAAACAATTCAAACAATTCAAACAATTCAAACAATTCAAACAATTCAAACAATTCAAACAATTCAAACAATTCAAACAATTCAAACAATTCAAACAATTCAAACAATTCAAACAATTCAAACAATTCAAACAATTCAAACAATTCAAACAATTCAAACAATTCAAACAATTCAAACAATTCAAACAATTCAAACAATTCAAACAATTCAAACAATTCAAACAATTCAAACAATTCAAACAATTCAAACAATTCAAACAATTCAAACAATTCAAACAATTCAAACAATTCAAACAATTCAAACAATTCAAACAATTCAAACAATTCAAACAATTCAAACAATTCAAACAATTCAAACAATTCAAACAATTCAAACAATTCAAACAATTCAAACAATTCAAACAATTCAAACAATTCAAACAATTCAAACAATTCAAACAATTCAAACAATTCAAACAATTCAAACAATTCAAACAATTCAAACAATTCAAACAATTCAAACAATTCAAACAATTCAAACAATTCAAACAATTCAAACAATTCAAACAATTCAAACAATTCAAAGCACTGAAAGTATTCAAACAATTTAAAAAGTTGAAACAATTATAGATACAGGAAGAATCGATTAAAATACCTGAAGTCACGAAGGGGATGCCAATGAACTCGTAGCAAAGTAAAAGAATTTGAAGGGATTTCTCGCAAATCCAATATCCCTGTCGTATTTCATTTCGCTAAGTTGTCAGTATCTCGCACCGTCAAATATTTCGCATTTCGTGCAACACGCAAATCGTCGAATGTTTAGGGCCACGAGTTATTCGCTGTTGGCGGAAGGAAAGGGGTCCCTGAACATAATCAGGCACGCAATTGAAAGCAGACACGAATCTAGTCGAATTCAAACGTCTCGGGATACATTCAAATCAGATTTAAATCACCGACGACGATTTACATGGCTACCTGGCGGGGTCTTTCGCTCGCCGGAAATAGGAGGACGTTTTCTTTATTCAGGGACCGTTGAATAAGTCGTTTACCCTGTAAACAGAGCCGTTCCCCGCCCGCGGGCACAAAACGTGTACAACGTTAACCGAGTTAAAGCGGGTCTCATTAATAATTCATGGGAGGAGCGAATAGCATGGCGATTATTTAAATAAATTCTGAATTGGATACCGGGGCTGAAAAACGTCAATGAAAATACGTTGCCGCGTCGGGTGTTTAAAGAGGATTCGCCAACAATGGCGGGCCGGCGAGGCGGGAGGCGCCGTTTTAGCCGAGGTTGCTGGAAAACGAGGATATATTAGAGCACAGATTGCGCGTTAACGATAAACGCTGTTCCCCGGTTAATTCCCCGGAATTCTCTCTCTCGTCGACAGAAAACTCCCTAGACAGAAAATAGAGTGCAACTATTTGCATGGTTATGACTTTCTAACCGAGGACTTAATTTCGCGGGTGCCTTTTAATGGAAACAATTGGAATTTATTATATCATCTTACTAAATGCTTCTTGCTACAAATAAGACATCTAAGATTCACTAAGATAGTGTTGGTGGAAGCCGGTTCTAGCCAGCAGGTCCATTGACGTCGGTCACTTTGGCAGACCACTGCTTTAGAAATAGTCTTTTGGAAAGGTTAGTTAATCATAAGAGTGACATCTTCGAATGAGGCATATTACGTTGCCACCTTTCAGGATTATAAACCTTTTACTTCTGGGCAAGCTCAAGATTTGGGACCCTATGAACAATGAGGACTTCATAACTCTGAGGACTTTAAGACTTGTGGGAATCCTAGGTGTTCTGGGAAGTTTAAGTGGGAGGTAGACTTGGGAGTTGTCCAAGGTAGTTTGGGACTCTATGAACAATGTGGACTTCATGACTCTGGGGACTTTAAGAACTATGGGACTCCTAGGTGTCTTAGGAAGTACAAGTGGCAGGTAGACTTTGGAGATGTCCAAGGCAGTTTGGGACCTCATAAACAATGTGGACTTCATAACTCTGGGGACTTTAAGAACCATGGGACTCTTAGGTGTCTTAGGAGGTACAAGTAAGAGGTAGACTTGAGAGGTGTCCAAGGTAGTTTGGGAGCCTATGAACAATGTGGACTTCATAACTCTGGGGACATTAACAACTATGGGACTCCTAGGTGTTCTAGGAGGTACAAGTGGGAGGTAGACTAAGGAAGTGTCTAAGATAGCTTAAAACCCTATGAACAATGTGGACTTCATAACTCTGCGGAATATAATAACTATGGGACTCCTAGGTGTTCTAGGAGATACAAGTGGGAGGTAGACTAAGGAAGTGTCTAAGGTAGTTTGGGAGCCTATGAACAATGTGGACTTCACAACTCTGGAGACTTTAAGAACTATGGGACTCCTAGGTGTCTAATGAGGTACTAGTGGGAGGTAGACTTTGGAGGTGTCCAAGGTAGTTTGGGACCCTATGAACAATGTGGACTTCATAACTCTGCGGAATATAAGAACTGTGAGACTCCTAGGTGTCTTGGGAGGAAGACTTGGGAGGTGCCTAATAGCCATAGAGCTATGGAATTACGTCCTCGGGAGTGTACGTTAAGGACTTGGGTCTCTGGGGTCTGCAAAAGGTTTTGAAGACTTGGAAGACAGAAAGTTTGAGATCAATACCGAAATCTCGTAGACCGAGACCCTTATAAAGTTATTATTTCGAACTAAGCTGCCTTTGATCTCTAAAGTTTCTAAGCCTTAGGGTGTATATCACTAAAGGAAATATGTTAAGGAGGACCACCTTGTTTGTTACAGGATCCACCAGCCATGGGTCTCTAAAGCACAGGGCCTAGTCAGCGATCTCCAACGGGCAGCCAATGGATATCTGAACTCCGCGGTAGTGATCGAATCACCCTGGAAGGAAGCTGACGCGCTATAGGGAGGAAAGGCGAGAGGAAGAGTGTCCCGCGTGCCAAGAAGATGCGGTTGTTCGCGTGGCCTGGCAGCGTGACTCGCGACGGACTCATAAACGATGAATTGGCGGGCAGCGATGTTGGCTCGGCGGAGAAAAGCGGCAGCAGCAGGAGCAGCAGCTGTGGAGGCAGCCAGGCCAACGAGCGAACCGGCATCAGATTCGGGGAAAAACCGGGCGAACACCGCGGGCACACCATCGGCTGGGCATGTACGTCATCTACCCGGCGGACGAGCTGTTGCGTATCTATGAGAACCCAGTCCGTGATAGCCCAGTGTTAACCGACGAACGTCGACCGAGCTGCCAGGTGACCGTGATCGCGGTCGACGATAACGAGCGACCGGTCGCCCAGCAGAAGCCCAAAGGGCGCAAGGAGAAGAGGAGGGAGCGCGGACAGACGCGCAAAAAGAGAACGGGCCGTAACGAGGCACGCGGTAACGAGGTCGCGAAGGGCAACCGCCGCGACAAGCACACCAGGACTATGCTAAATAGCCGTGCGACCGGCGAGGATGCCCCGAATCCTCTCAAGGACCTCGTGCAGCCGGGGCTCAACGAGCCGCTCAAACAGCACAATGCGTCCGCCCTCAAACTCGTGCAGACCGGTGAGTACCGCATCCTTACCTTATTTATCAATCCCATTAAATATACCTAGGTTCCTGGAATCTTGAGGATTCTCATGGAAGTAGAATTTCGACGATAATGCTCCTACAGCTCATCCTTGAGGTCCTTATAACCAAGCTTCCACTTGTTTTGCCTAAAACAGCTGCAAGTGGAAGCTGTCCAAGTAGAACGTGTTTGTGATGAGTCCTACTGTCTCGACGGAAAATGCATGTAAACAGGCCACCTGGCTCCCTAAAGTCTCCCTAAGGACTTCCAATGATACGTTATAGGTTGATGCGAAAAGCTGAGGCAATTTAACGTAGTCTAGTGGGTCGTGCGTCATCCTTTAGTATACCCTTGGTAATACTTTGAGTAAGGGAGTCTGATACTCGTATGACCATTCGAAGCGTAATTGAAATCCAGATGTCTTGCTTCGATAAGGGTCGAGTCACCTTAGTGGGACAAGAAGGTTATGTAAAGAAATTTTTGGATCGGTCGTGACTCAGGTGAGGCTTATACTGGCGCGTCATCAAGGTATTAATCATTTCTTTAAATAAATTTTGAAGGACAAACTGTTCGGAGATATTCGCTGAATCCCCCGAATTTATAAAGCGGATATTGGAGGAAAAAACTGGCCGCGTAATAAGAGCGTTAAATTGTCCCTATAAAGTTGCCAGCTTCGAGCCGTGTCACGAGATTACTTACTAAATTTTAATACCTGTCGTTGTTTATCCGGCGTTCTTGCAACGCGACTTCTCCCTTTGAGACGCGAAGGTGACATCATAAAACTTGGAGTATCCAATTATCTTGTTATTCAAACATGAATATCAGGATTACACGTGCCACGATCAAAGCCCCGGCTCCTCTTTCTCCTCCTACACGCGTGTACACGCCTTCCGTGTTCGAAGGCCATTTTACACTGGTATTTAGTAGTTGGCGGAGCTGTAAGTTTAGGGCTTCGTTGTGCCGCCATGCACTCAAGAACGTGTTCGGTTCCCGTGGCTCGCTTTATGACTCTGCCGAGCGAGCCTCGTAAGGCCAATTGCTCGTGTAATATGTAAACAAGACCCTAGGGACAAATCTGTACCCTTCCTGCCCGATGTTGATCTCGTTTTAATTCCATTATCGCACCACATAGAACAGATCATCGGATAAAGAAAATTATGGCTGAATTGCTAACAGCTTTTAGTAATACTAGAATTCACACAACTCCGAATAAAGTCACTAGCCGATTAACGAGTTGGCGCCAACCGGAGAAACGCGAAACGTCGACCGGAAGGGAAGACACTTTGGCACAGATCTCCCTTCAACTTTCCCGCATACAGTGGTAATATCCAAGCTTCTGGGGATGATCTTATCGCATGAGGGCGATGTTCTAAACGATAAATTTTTGGGAAACGCCAGCGGAGTCGTGGAAATCGCTTTGGCATGGAAACTACGGCCATTAAGGCGTCGCGGATTCTTTGTGCATCTCCCCGGACACGTCGGACGAAGCTGGGGGAAATTTATCAGGGACCGCGTTCCCAAAATGTAGCATCTTCCCTTACTTGTTCGGTCGAACTTTTCTGATCGATAAGTTTTGTGAGCGATACGACGCGTGAAGGTAGGGCGCAAAGGGATACGACGCGGGAAAGAACGACGCGTGGAGATAGGACGCGTGAAGGTGGGGCGCGTGGAAGTACGGTGCGTGGAGATATGACGCGTGAAAGTACGGCACGTGAAGATACGACGCGTAGCGATACGACGCGTGAAAGTACAGCGTGTGGAGATACGACGCGTAGCAATACGACGCGTGAAGGTGGGGCACGTGGAAGTACGGTGCGTGGAGTTACGACGCGTGGGAATACGATGCGTGGCGATGCGACGCGTGAAGGTAGGGCGCGTGGAAGTACGGTGCGTGGAGTTACGACGCGTGAAAGAACGACGCGTGGAGATACGACGCGTGGCGATACGACGCGTGAAGGTAGGACGTGTGGAAGTACGGTGCGTGGAGTTACGACGCGTGGAAGCACGGTGCGTGGAGTTACGACGCGTGAAAGTACCACGCGTGGGAATACGATGCGTGGCGATACGACGCGTGAAGGTAGGACGCGTGGAAGTACGGTGCGTGGAGTTACGACGCGTGAAGATAGGGCGCGTGGAGATACGACGCGTGGCGATACGACGCGTGAAGGTAGGACGCGTGGAAGTACGGTGCGTGGAGTTACGACGCGTGAAGATAGGGCGCGTGGAAGTACGGTGCGTGGAAATACGACGAGTGAAAGTACGGTGCGTGGAGATACGACGCGTGGCAGTACACCGCGTGGAGATATACCGCGTGAAAGTACGACGCGTGGAGATAAGACGCGTGGAAATGCAACGTGAGAGAATTTCTACGCGTTATAATCTTACCTTACATGACTAACTCGCCTGCATCTAAAATCATAGGTCAAAGGGTTAGACTGAATTATCAACTATCCAATGACAACTGGGTCACGCATGCCCCATGCATCGATATTAAATTGCATATACCAATGTAATCCTGAAAAATGAAACTAGATCCCAGATAACTGTAATTTGTTTAAGAACATCAAATGAGAATTTTGCCCTGGAAAAAAGTGAAGGCGGACAGGAAGAGGAATCGCAAAAGGGAAAAAATGGATTTAAAGGAAGAGAAGCGAGCAGAGACGGCGTGTGCCGCGTAAAAATAACCGGACGCGATGACATAATTGTAAATTATTACTCCCATAAAACGCGGTACACGTGCTTCGCGAAACGACACGCTGAATGGCCGGGCACGCTTTCCTATTTATAACTGCCCCGTCACTGTTAGGCTGTCTTAAGTGGTACATCCTCCATTTCGTTTTTATCTCCCCTTTTTATGCTACATAATTTATTCCCAATAGTACGTACACGTACGTGATCACCTGTGTGTGTATGATGTACGAGAACGTAATTGTGATGGTACCTTTTTTCTTCGGGATCCATCAGCGCGGCTAAATGAATCTAATACCGAGTGATTCATGTGTTGTCGGCGTTCGAATGATAAACGAGTTCGGCAGTAATTTAGTAACTTTTCTTGCTAGTTAGTTTTTGTGAGTGGGAATTGGTACTGTTATCAGATGCCTTTTTCTGGGTTTATGTGGCTTAGTTTAGTATTTTCGTATTAATTAGCTACTAGATATTGGTTGACCCAGGTTCAAGGGACCGTCTGTTACACCTTGATAGTCCCAGGGACGTTCTAAGGACCGCACACGCGGTCTTGATAGTCCCACTGACTTTCTGAGGACCGCCCACGCGGTCTTGATAGCCTTAGTGACGTTCTTAGGACCGCCTACGCAACCTTGATAGTCCCAGCGACGTTCTAAGGACCGCCCACATGGTCTTGATAGTCCCAGTGACGTTCTTAGGACCGCCCACATGGTCTTGATAGTCCTAGTGACGTTCTTAGGACCACCCACACGGTCTTGATAGTCCCAGCGACGTTCTGAGGATCGCCCACATGGTCTTGATAGTCTTAGTGACGTTCTTAGGACCGCCTACGCGACCTTGATAGTCCCACTGACGTTCTTAGGACCGCCTACGCAACCTCGATAGTCCCAGCGACGTTCTTAGGACCGCCCACACGGTCTTGATAGTCCCAGCGACGTTCTGAGGACCGCCCACATGGTCTTGATAGTCTTAGTGGCGTTCTTAGGACCGCCTACGCGACCTTGATAGTCCCAGCGACGTTCTTAGGACCGCCCACACGGTCTTGATAGTCCCAGCGACGTTCTGAGGACCGCCCACATGGTCTTGATAGTCTTAGTGACGTTCTTAGGACCGGCTACGCGACCTTGATAGTCCCAGCGACGTTCTAAGGACCGCCCACATGGTCTTGATAGTCCCAGTGACGTTGTTAGGACCGCCTACGCGACCTTGATAGTCCCAGCGACGTTCTAAGGACCGCCCACATGGCCTTGATAGTCCTAGGACGTTCTCAGGACCGCCCACACGGCCTTGATAGTCCCAGCGACGTTCTAAGGACCGCCCACATGGCCTTGATAGTCCTAGGACGTTCTCAGGACCGCCCACACGGCCTTGATAGTCCCAGCGACGTTCTAACGACCGTCTATGATGCGTACAGTGTATAGTAAGACGCTACTGCAGCTGTGAATGAAAAGTCACATACGTTCATTTGATCGAAATAGACATATTAGAAAATTCGAAAGTAACATCAGTAAAGTTGGGCCACCTGTACTTCATAGTGTCACAGGATCAAAAAGACAATAAAAGAACTGAATGAAAAATGACACTGCTGAAGAGAGAAGCAAGCCGTAAAGTCGCATAAATTTGCAGGCGTAGTAACGCTCCATTTCTGTTTTTTATCCGACGAATTAAATTGGGAGGGCAAAGGTTAATCAGCCTTGACGTCTCGCAGAAGGGAACGCGAAGAGTCTCGATAAAATCCTAGTCGACAGATGTAATTAATCTTCGAGCAGAGCTGTCGCGATTAGCCTCGAAGGAAGCAACCCCGACGTGAAAAATGCTGCTCGATCCTCTTTAACCGTGAAAATTCACACCCCCTCTCCCTTCGCACTTAGAACCCCCGGAAAATCGGTTTTTGTTAGGAAGGATAAAAGTTCGATAACCCTCGAGTACACGGCACTCTGAAATTTCTTGCTCTACCTGGCACGATGAATGATGAATCCCTTGCTTCCTCGATTTAACGCAACAATTCCTTTTCTATCTGCTTCTTCTTTTCTCGCCCCTTCTTTTTTAGTTGTATCGCTTTTTTGTACGGTGGCTTGATTTAGGGGGGCGCGAGGATTAATGAAGCCTACTACAGATTGATAGTGGCGATATAATGAGAGTCTACTGTACGTAAGTGTGGTAATATTGTTTGATTTAAGGCTGCTGGAGTTGTGCACGAATTTGCGCAAATTGACGGTTAGTTATAATGGCAATATAACTAGAGTGCACAGAGGAAAGTAGGGTAATATTCGGTTATTTGATTCAAGAATATTTCCACAAATTGAAGTAG